AGCTTGTAAATCCTACTCTGCTTCATTAGTCCATCTTTTTACAGTCCTTAATACAGGTTTAGCTGATTTCAGTTTCTGCCTGTAGGTCGGTATAAGATGAACCAAACAGTGATCAGAGAGTCCTAAAGCTGCTCGTGGGACAGAGTGATATGCATTCTTAATTGTGGTGTAACAGTGATACAATATATTACTGTCTCTGGTGGGACATGTGATGTGCTGTCTGTATTTTGTCTAGAATCCGAGAATGATTAAAACAGAGTCCGGGTGTTGTTGTTCTGTCTCTGTGATCTGATCAGCGAGTTTCTGTAAAGCGGAGCTCACGTGTGATTGCGGAGGAATGTAAACACTGACGAGAATGAACAAGCAAAACTCCCGCGGCCAGTAGAAAGGCTTACAGTTAGTGAAGAGCACTTCTAGATCTGAACAGCACATCTTCTTTAACACAGTTACATCTGTACACCACCTCTCATTGATGTAAAAGCATGTCCCTCCGCCGCGTGATTTCCCCGTTGATTCTGCATCGCTATCCGCTCTGAACAGCTGAAAGCCCCGGAGACTCAACGCGCTGTCCGGAATGGCGTCTTTCAGCCAGGTTTCCGTGAAACACAGAGCAGCAGAGTTTGAAAAATCCTTATTTGTCCGGGAGAGCAGAAGGAGCTCGTCCATTTTGTTGGATAGAGAGCGGAGGTTTGCCAGATGAATGCTAGACAACGATGTTCGAAATCCGCGCTGCCTGAGCTTCACGAGCGCGCCGCTCACTTCCCCCTGAAGCGTCTGAACAGCGCCGCTGCTCCCCCGACTACAATGTCCAGCAAAACATCAGAATAATCGAAAACCGGTGAAATATCTGGTGGTGTGTATTGCCGAATGTCTAGCAATTCGTCTCTGGTGAAACTGATTGCAGGGATATAACTAAAGACAGGACAAACTAACAAAAACATAAAAACAATTGCGGAGCACGCCACGGAGGCAGCCATCATCATCGGCGCCATCTCCAAATCAGACTCTAACTTTAGCATATTAAACGTATTTTATCACCACTTTGATTTGCCATTGTCATTTTAAAAATGATGCTACTTCCACTTGTTAAAAGCTTATATATCCTAAGGAAACCATGCTGTCTGACTACTGAACCCATTTAACACCCTTAGAAACACCCTTCTTTTTCCTTCATAGTTTCTGGGAAGATGGTGAGCCCAACAACCATGTTAATGAAGACTGTGGCAACATGGTAAAAACAAATGTTTTAAGCCGTGTGGCTACAAAGAGCTGGTATGACGCTCCATGCCCTGGATCTGTGAGAAGCTGGTGTAACCAATAACAATGTAATAGCCATTTTATATAAATATCTATTTTTTTCTTATAAATTTGGGAATGTCTGGCAGTTCCACTTACACTCAGTAGGGCGCAGCATTGAGTCAAGGTTTTGATCATAACTGTACAATAAGATCAGTCGATACCTGGTTTATTTTCCACTTCCACTTGTTAAAAGCTTATATATCCTAAGGAAACCATGCTGTCTGACTACTGAACCCATTTAACACCCTTAGAAACACCCTTCTTTTTCCTTCATAGTTTCTGGGAATATGGTGAGCCCAACAACCATGTTAATGAAGACTGTGGCAACATGGTAAAAACAAATGTTTTAAGCCGTGTGGCTACAAAGAGCTGGTATGACGCTCCATGCTACATGTCCTTGCCCTGGATCTGTGAGAAGCTGGTGTCCTCTTGAACTTCACTCCTACCATCATCATCGTCTTCACCACCAGCATCAACAGACATTCATTGATCATTAGTAATAAAAGCTGTAATGAAATTTCCATAGCATTTAGAATGTCTGGTCTCAGGGTTTTCAGTGTTTCAAACTTTAAATGACTAACTGCAGTCATGGGTCAAAAAAAAAAACTTTTTATTTTAATCTGAGACCATATGTGCATTAACCTACATGTATTTTAACACTGGACAATTTAGTGCATTTATTAACTGCTCAAATATTATAAAAAAAAATATTGAGGCTGATTAAAACCTTTTTTATGTTAAAAAAAAGCATTTGTATGTTAGAAAATATTGTCTGTCTTTTCCTAAACGACTAAACATTTTTTTAAATTCCTTATAAATGTTTTCTATGCATTTTTGGGGGTAACCAATAACAATGTAATAGCCATTTTATATAAATATAAATTTTTTCTTATAAATTTGGGAATGTTTGGCAGTTCCACTTACACTCAGTAGGGCGCAGCATTGAGTCAAGGTTTTGATCATAACTGTACAATAAGATCAGTCGATACCTGGTTTATTTTCCTTCATTAATATTGACAAACCTATCTCTGTCATCCGAATGTTACAAATAATCACAGAAATCCGTGCCTTTGTTGTTGTTTTTCTAGACATCACTTTAGTTAAGATTCATTTTAAGAACAAACAAGATTATTTATTTTAGACCATTATAAGCCACACTAGTTCAGAATGTGACCAACTAAACCAAATACCAAAGTCAAAGTCTTGGGAAAGCAATACAAACAATCTTTTTATCTTCTTTATCTCTTTTTGACATACAAAACAGGTCCTTGCCTTGTACGGATTTAAGCGTTTGCGTAAGACGCATGGATGAATGCATTCTGGGTCGTGTCCTCTCATGTCCCATCCAACAGTTTTTTATGATAGTGCTGTGACTGATTGCCACAGTTACTCATAGTGAGGCCAGCAGCCTAATCAAAGTGCTATATTTTATGCATCAGCTTAATCTTACCCATCCGGGTCACGGCACCAATGTAACCTCTCTCTCCGGGGTCCTCACCACCACACCTCGTTCTTGCTCCGAGTGGGTCTCGAATTCGGGTCTCCGGCATGGGAGGTGGGCGCACTAACAAAGAGGCTAAAGACTGCAGGCCCTAGCGCCAGTCGCTAGTGCGCCTCTTGAGATCAGGGGAGTGAGGTTTACCTGCACAGCACCTACCCGCTGGCCTCCGTTACACTCACCCCCCTAAAACCTCACTCCAATCCGGGTCATGGCACCAATGTAACCTCTCTCTCCCGGGGCCTCACCACCACACCTCGTTCTTGCTCCGAGTGGGTCTCCGGCATGGGAGGCGGGAACACTAACAAGGAGGCTAAAGACTGCAGCCCCTAGCGCCAGTCGCTAGTGCGCCTCTTGAGATCAAGGGAGTGAGGTTTACCTATACAGCACTTACCCGCTGGCCTCCGTTACACTAGCCATGAGGTTTAGTAGAGAGTTGGCAGCTCTTTGGACAGTGCTTTTCTGACTGACCCATCCATTTGTCAAGTAATGAGCCAATGAGATGAATCAGGTGTGGTTGATTTGAGGAGTTGAAAAATATGTAGGCTACTGTTGGTGCCTCCAGGAGCAGGGTTGGGAAATACTGATGTAGCAACATCCGCTTGTTTTCTTATGGTTTTCTTATTGTGTGCACATTTATGGGTATCATGTTCCCGATTACATAACCACATGTGCGTTAGTATGCATTTCACTGAAAGTTTCCTCTGATTGTTTGCAATAACAGCTTATGCATATTGATGAGAAAATATCAGATTTATTTAATATTAAAAAGTCTTGGGAAAGCAATACAAACAATCTTTTTATCTTCTTTATCTCTTTTTGGCAGCAGGGTTGGGAAATACTGATGTAGCAACATGCGCTTGTTTTCTTATGGTTTTCTTATTGTGTGCACATTTATGGGTATCATGTTCCCGATTACATAACCACATGTGCGTTAGTATGCATTTCACTGAAATGTTTCCTCTGATTGTTTGCAATAACAGCTTATGCATATTGATGCGAAAATATCAGATTTATTTAATATTAAAAAACAAACAAACAGACAGCAAGGGTCATTTTAAAAATGATAAATATTGTGAACACAACATTGAGCATATACTTCTTGTGGTCATTCATAATGCAATGAAACACAACCGTACAGTGCTATTAATATATGCTTGCATAACTGTTTTCTTAAATAATAAGTGTTAATCACACATCAAGTATGATTTCAAACTGTCCAGCCTCTTTAGAGAGGAAAAACACATCTTTGGACACATCCTCCTTATTTTGACACCTCACAATTCATACACTTTTTCTGACCTCTGAAATGTCACATGTCTCACTTCTCATCCCAGCTACAATTTTTCTGCCTTCAGTATTTACTCCTTTGCAATACATACACTTCTCTCCAGCTGTCCAGCTGTACTTCTCTTCACTCTGCTTCAGTCAGGTTAACATGCCCCACCAGGCCTTAACACATGTGGGACTCTTCATCCCTGAGCTTTTGCTGAAAAACACCAACTTCAGCACCACCACAATAATAACTTGTTTGTTTTGTTGTTGTTGTTTTTTACTAAGGAATCTACTGTTTTGCATCTTAAATTCTGGCCACATGCCGTTTAAGTGTTCCCAGGCAACAGTACTCAAAGAGCATTGGGAAATGCTGTCACTGGTCCCCAGTTCAGTAGGGAATGCGAGCATCCACAATGGAAGTCTATCTTGGCAATCTCTTGAAAGACTTTTTCATATCTTTAAGGCAGCCAGCTCTGATGGTTCACTTTGCAACCTTGTAGGCAGCTAAGTTCAGCGGCTCCTTGCTCGGGACGCACCAGTCATCAGCTTCCTGGTTGAATTTGTAATGGCGCAAGGCAGTCTGATTGAACACTGGAAGCTTCTCTACTGAATCTGTGGACAGGGCCTGCGAGAAGAAGACTGGATTAATGATTTGAAGACTGACAGATGTAATGTCCAAAGTTGACAGGATGTTTTGCACGGGTACAAGCTCAACAGATAAGGTTAGTGTAAGCAAAACCCTCATTACGGTTTGCCATCTTGCGGTTTGTTTAAAATTTCACCTAAAAGTGCAAAGTCGTGGTTTACTCATTGTTCCAAACCCATATGACTTACTTTCTTTCGTGGAATACAAAAGGAGAGGTTTAGCATAATGTTGACACAGCCCATTTAGTGATAACTGGGCAAAAATCCTTTCAATTTCAATTTTTATGCACGCTAACACTTTATTTAGGGATCTCTTTACCTTCAGCTGAATTACGGCATCTGTACCATAGCCCTCCATTGGATAATCAAACTGTCCAGCCTCTTTAGAGAGGAAAAACACATCTTTGGACACATCTTCCTTATTTTGACACTTCTCACAATTCATACACTTTTTCTGACCTCTGAAATGTCACATGTCTCACTTCTCATCCCAGCTACAATTTTTCTGCCTTCAGTATTTACTCCTTTGCAATACATACACTTCTCTCCAGCTGTTTTTAGACTTCACTCTGCTTCAGTCAGGTTAACATGCCCCACCAGGCCTTAACACATGTGGGACTCTTCATCCCTGAGCTTTTGCTGAAAAACACCAACTTCAGCACCACCACAATAATAACTTGTTTGTTTTGTTGTTGTTGTTTTTTACTAAGGAATCTACTGTTTTGCATCTTAAATTCTGGCCACATGCCGTTTAAGTGTTCCCAGGCAACAGTACTCAAAGAGCATTGGGAAATGCTGTCACTGGTCCCCAGTTCAGTAGGGAATGCGAGCATCCACAATGGAAGTCTATCTTGGCAATCTCTTGAAAGACTTTTTCATATCTTTAAGGCAGCCAGCTCTGATGGTTCACTTTGCAACCTTGTAGGCAGCTAAGTTCAGCGGCTCCTTGCTCGGGACGCACCAGTCATCAGCTTCCTGGTTGAATTTGTAATGGCGCAAGGCAGTCTGATTGAACACTGGAAGCTTCTCTACTGAATCTGTGGACAGGGCCTGCGAGAAGAAGACTGGATTAATGATTTGAAGACTGACAGATGTAATGTCCAAAGTTGACAGGATGTTTTGCACGGGTACAAGCTCAACAGATAAGGTTAGTGTAAGCAAAACCCTCATTACGGTTTGCCATCTTGCGGTTTGTTTAAAATTTCACCTAAAAGTGCAAAGTCGTGGTTTACTCATTGTTCCAAACCCATATGACTTACTTTCTTTCGTGGAATACAAAAGGAGAGGTTTAGCATAATGTTGACACAGCCCATTTAGTGATAACTGGGCAAAAATCCTTTCAATTTCAATTTTTATGCACGCTAACACTTTATTTAGGGATCTCTTTACCTTCAGCTGAATTACGGCATCTGTACCATAGCCCTCCATTGGATAAAGCTGGAGATCACCTTGGAAGTATCGTGCATACAGGCGGGAGGTGGGAAGGCCATAACCAAAGCCAGCCTGAGGGATAGGTTTGACTTTGAGTTTTTTATGAAAAAACATATGCATCTGCTATTATGTAGTGTCTTACGCTCTTACCATTGGGGTCCGTTGATGGTCACCAATAGTAGGTCTGGGCGCTGTTGAATACATGTAGCTAAAAAGTCTATCAATCTTCCTGAAAGGAACGCCACCGCCCCTGTCACTGATCTGGAACATGAAATGTGAATGTTTAGAGAACAATGATGTGTTTTGTGAGCTGCATTACAACAGATGATGAATACGTGTGGGTTACATGACTAAGACTAAGGGAATGCCTGTTGTATATGTATAAGAAGATAAATATAATCTTGCAAACACTGTTACCACATGGATATAGCATTGCAGTTCAACGTCTGCTTTGTTGCACGCTTTAGCCACCAACAGGGCAAAGGTTAATATCGTAATACTAGTCAAAGCTAGTTTCCATTTATGGCAACAAATGATCTTGATTAAGGGTGGTTAGAATATTAATCTCTAGGACAGTTTATATAACGTTATTATAAGTTATCGCTGAATCTAGGGCAATGTAACAGTGTGAGCAAGGAACCGGTGGTTGAGAAGAATGATTCAAACAAGGCGGTGGTGTTAGTGTGACCTCATATTCTCACTGCCAACTTTCTCTAAAAACATCATATTTGAACTTCCATTCACCTTGATTGACAGGTCCTCTCCACCTAGAGCAACCATGACTTTGATTGGTGGCAATGTGCTGCTTGTTTCATGAGTCTCAATAGTAGCCCTCATTGCATTCTGGAGTGGAGGAGACATAAGAATGACTTATTTAAAATCTAAAACGAATTATCATTCCATATGCAAAAATAAAGCTCCATGCCTACCTTGAAGAGCTCAAAAGCCATGTGGTAGAGATGAGAAGGAACGTAGGAAATCTCGATTGGTTGCGACTTGTTCTTTGCTGCACCAGAGAACAAATGTTATAAAATACAATGTAGTTTGTGAATGAAATTGAAATGAAACATGATGGAGAATATATTTGAACATGTCTGTTCCTCACCGTTTATCTCTCTAAGCTCCAGCTCAGGGGATCCGAGGTAATACTGCTCACAGAGCATTTTAGCACACTCATATGCATCTGAAGCAGAACACAGGACATTAGTATTGAATTTACACTTGTTGCTAGGGTAATACTTGCATCCCAGGTCGATAACAGTATGCACTGAAGCACTCACCGCTGATTACATTTGTGACGTCACAGCAGGAGTCAATGCACCCGATGCTGCTGGGATGTCCTGGCTTTGTGGAGCCATCGAAGATCAGAGCTAAAGATAGAGCAGGAAATAAAAGGGAACCGAGGGTTAGCGGTGTACTTCAAGCTAATCATTCTCTCATATTCAGTGAATAATTAACTCAAACTGGAGCAGTCCGGATTATTCAAGATCTAATGACCTGTAAAGTGCTGCGAAAGCGACTATTGATGCCAAGTCCAGGTATTAGGACTAGAGCAAAGATTTAGGACAAGATTGACTTACTGTGCTGGTTGATGAGCATGCGCATGGAGATGCGGTTCATGTAAAAGCGGTCCAGAAAGTACTGAATGTTCTGACTTGTCAAAGGATCTGCCCCAAACGCATCCCTATACTCGATGATGCCCTGGGCCAGGGTGGGTACCACATCATTGTGCCTGTTCCTGATGGTCACCAGAGTGTCCACAAATCTTTGGGGATAAACAGCAAAACAACTCCATGAATCCTGCTGTTGTGTACCGTTTAATAATACTTCTTTAATATTCTGATAGATGATGTGTGTAGATTGCAGAACCTACTCAGCAAGAACTTTGGGGTCATTAGGACTCTTGTCTTGAAATTCTAGGATGTCCATCAGGCTTTGGATAAACCTGAGAAAGTAAGATAGAGAAGACAAAGGGAATGCAAGGTTGTACATTCACTATAGATTAAGGTTACCACTGCAGAGTTACAATTACACTTTTTCATCTCCAATAACACCCTCAACCTAAATAATGTCTTCACACTTACAGGAAAGTTTTGCAATTTTTAAGCACTCACCGGTGTTGTTATTGTTAACTAAAACTATTGAAAATAAAATATAAATATTATATGAAAAACTTAAAATAAAATAAAAAATGCAAAAATTAAGAATAATAAAAAATTGTCCAAGAACTGTTCAAGTACTAAAATTACTCAAATTAATCTAAAATAAAAACAAACTGCATAAATTAACTAAAACTATTAAAAATTGTTTTCCATATTAAAATAAAGTTGAAATAAAATAAATATATAAATATTAGATTAAAATGTTAAACTTAAAAATGTAGATTTTGCCTGGGCAAGGAACTTAAATACGTTTAAGTACTAAAATCACTCAAATTAAATCTGAAATAAAAAGATTAAATAAAATTTTAAAAATTCAGTAGGCTATTAAAATAAAGCTAAAATAAAAATATTAGATTCAAATTTTAAACTTATAAACGTAATGTTTCCTTGAAACTAACTAAAATGTGTATATTTTTTTTTATTACTAAAATTTCTAAAAATAAATTAAAGCTAATTTTAAAAACAAAAACTCATAGAAAGCACATAACGGAATTACTAAAACTAAAATGAAAACAAAATATAAAAATGAAAAAGCTCATTAAAAATATTTAATGTAAGTTCAAAATAATAAATAATAGTATATAAATATATAAAGAATAGTATTTAAACAATATTTTATACTAGGCTATAATTATTTGTGATTATTGTTATACATTTTAAATATATTAGCTATTAATATTCATTATAGATTTTTTCCTAATTTGTTTTTTATATGTTAACTGCTTATTTCCCTGAGTTTCCCTGCTTGCTGTTCTGCTGGAGCACAGTAGAATATACTGTTCCAAATCAGTTCTCGAAAACAAGTCACGCCGCACCTTCTCATATTTCACTTTCTGAAGTGAACCACAGTATCCGTTACATAATGTGCCCGCAGTCTAGTAAACAAGTGAGGGTCTGCAATGGTATTTCAACACAAAACTACATTCCATAGGCTCGTGAGCAAGTATTTATAAGTACGTTTTTAAAGAAAATGTTGTAAGCATCTCACACCACAACTTAATGTCACATGGTCCAGAAACCCAAACTAGAAACTAGAAGAAAAATAGCCTAATATAATAAGAAGAAGTGCTTTAGTAAGAACTGCTGTGATGATTATTAAGATTACAACTTTGATCCTTAGATTAAAGTTATAATGGAAACTGGATGAAGCTTGATTCTCAACTTTAAACTGCCGAGTGTGTAATGTACAGTAGCCTACAGTAGTGGCTCATACTTCGAAAACATCAGGCTGAGGAACTAGGGCAAAGTTCATTGTTCAGTTAGGAGGCGTGAGACACATTACATAATGCACACGTGTAAAACAAACCATTTTAATGGGTTAGTATGTTCAGCAATGTATTAAATCATACACATACATGATTTATCTGTTTACTCAAACTACAAGTCAGACTGTTCAAAAGTTGGTTAAAGGGGTCATATGATGCTTTTTTAAAGATCATTATTTTGTGTATTTGGTGTAACAGAATATGTTGACATGCTTTAATGTTCAAAAAACACATTATTTTTCAAATACTGTACATTATTGTAGGTCCTCTATGCCCCGCCTCTCTCAAACGCCTCGTTTTCTACAAAGTCCCTCCTTCCGACAAGCGCAGTCTGCTCTGATTGGCCAGCTGACCCGGTGCATTGTGATTGGCCGAACACCGCAAGCGCTCATCGGAAATGTAACGCCCCTTACCATAATCGCGAGCTTCATCTTTCAAAATAAATGTAAAGACAGCAAATAATGTCATTAGTTTTACCATCAGTTTAAGCCCGAAAGGGGAACAGAGTCGCGTGACAGACACAGTGATGAAGCGGGTATGTGTTTGCAGTACACAAGCCACGGTTAAGACAGCTGTCTCCACTGTGATGTGACCCTGTCTCTCTCTCTCTCTCTCGCACGCACGCACACACACATCCAAAGAGAAAGGAAAACTTGAAATCGCATCATATGACCCCTTTAATACTTTTTTTAGTCTGATAACCCAGGACATGGACTTACCAGCTGTGAACTAGCTGAACGGACTGGGTCATTATTAGTTGGTCAGGTAAAAGGTTGATCTCCTTCAAACTGTTGCTTAGTCTGACGGGGAGCTCTTGTTTGAGGAAAGCGAAGGATGTTTTCTCGCACGCATTTGTGGATCCTGAAAAAACAATGTGACAGTGTGAATGCTCAGCTAAATGCCCACTTTGCTGCAATACAGTTGAACTAAATCTTTAATACACTCTTAAAAATAAAGGTGCTTCAAAAGGTTCTTCACAGCGATGCCATAGAAGAACCATTTTTGGTTCCACAAAGAACCATTCAGTCAAAGGTTCTTTAAAGAACCATCTCTTTCTTACCTTTTTATAATCTGAAGAACCTTCTTTCACCACAAAGAAGCTTTTGTGAAACAGAAAGGTTCTTCAGATGTTAAAGGTTCTTTATGGAACCATTTCGACAAAAAGGTTCTTCTATGGCATCGTGAAGCACCTTTATTTTTAAGAGTGTACTAAGAAAAACAAACGTAAGCAAACAGCAATTACTGAATGACTTACAAGTTTTATTTTTAATCTGACAGTATTTCTGCTGAGGTTCGTTGCGTGTACTAATTTGACGTGTTAAAGTTTTTTTTGTTTTTTAAAAAAAACAAAAAAAACTTCACTCTTTGTGCATAAATGGTGTGCAAATATAACAGGCTAAAGTTACAAATAACGGCAGTCCGAAGACCTTACAGAAAGCGCCAGAGCAGCGAACGGTTACTATGGTATACATGAATAAGCCAATCCAAATAATTTCATAACATAAAGAATATCGCAGGTTTTGGAGCAATACACATGCACTAATGCCCAGTGTGCACCAATCAGCCTTGGAATGACAAGATTTCATGCAAACATATTTTGCATTAAAATCTTAAACTCACCGAAATCCAGAAACTGCTTCATTGACAAAGGCGATGGAGAAAATTTCGCGTAATAATCGATATGCTTTGGCGCATTTAGCATTGCGGCATTCCTCATTATATACCTTACAAACTTCATCATGGAAGATCTAAATATCCGAACTAAAAACTAAAACGTTTTATGTTGTCAGAGACTAGAACAAAGCCGTAGAGAAGTTTCCCGTATATCCTCGCGTGCAGTTCTCTAGTCAGTCTGGGGCTGTCTTGTCTCGAGACCCCAGTTGATGACAGCTCTTTAAAGTCTGCGTTCTTGCACAGTGACACGCCCACGCCGGTACGTCGATATCGATGGTGACCAATTAGAGAGAGGAAACAGGGACACTGTCAACTCTCGGAATCGCGATCAACAAGCTGGCATCTCCGTGATGTGTGTACGAGTATGACAACATGGAAAATCACGCGATAGCATCACAACAAGTCGCCAAATAAAGATGATACAGCTGGACATTATGAGGTCAAGCGTCACCCATCACCCAGTTGGACCCGAGTGCAGTATGTGGCATGGAGCAGTGATGGAGCAATAAAACACGTAAAGTGAAAAAAAAATTACCTGCCAAAAGGCATGACAAATTCACTATTTAAAAATGCAGTGATGCATCTTAGAAATGTACATTATGCAATAATTGAAATGTGACTTAAGTGTCCAAATCATTTTTGGGGTCACTGTACATTATTGTTATATATACATATAGCCATTATATATAGCAAATGTAGTCATCACTGAAATATTAAGTCCTATACAACAATAAGGTGAGAAGAGGCCAAAAACAAAAAAAATGTACCTGCCAAAAGGCATGACAAATTCACTTTTTAAAAATGCAGTGATGCATCTTAGAAATGTACATTATGCAATAATATGGTAAGTGGGTAGGCCTAATAGATCAAATGAGAGAAGGTCGGCGTTATTAGACTAAAGCATGTGAATGAAAAAGGAAACAAATGAATGTCAAATGCAAACGAGAGTAGTGTCCTTGTTTTAGAGCAGTTATAAATAGTAGAAATAAATATAATTTAAAAGGATCAGTGAAGCTGATGCATACATAAGAAAATGTAGTTTTATGTATGCATAAACATGTTTAATACAAATACACTGGGGCCCAAACCTATAGCATGTGAACACTTTTGGACAGGTACATTTATTTGAATGTTATCACATTCAACACGAGTTCGATTTTTTGTTAAATTATTCTACCGCATTCATTTAAATTGAAATGTGACTTAAGTGTCCAAATCATTTTTGAGGTCACTGTACATTATTGTTATATATACATATAGCCATTATATATAGCAAATTTAGTCATTACTGAAAGATTAAGTCCTATACAACAATAAGGTGAGAAGAGGACAAAAACTAAATATTCAGCTTTTAATAAAGGATATATAATAATAAAGAATACATTTAATAATGAATATGTTTTTAATCATTAATCACAAAGATTTGGTAAGCTTATAACACATATAGCCTTTTAAAAAATGATATATAAAAAACAGGCCTAGGTATTAGTTATTGGAGAACGGAAAAACACTTAAATTCAGAGATCTCAATCACTGACGTGAAACAGTGCAGTAAACAAGACAACTGAGAAAACTGAGATTGCATAAAACAAGTGTTGAAACTAAACTAAACGTCTCATGACTGCTCCCTGGAGGAGGAACATACAGTAAAGTTAGCACTGAGCTGAGGAAAGGTGTCCTGTTGAAAAAGCTTGAATTGGCGGTTGGAACTGGTACAGTAGCTAGTTATGAGTCAATCTGTTTGTCTGTACCAGTTTGCACAACAAGTGACCATCCAAAGGAAGAACCAGTTTAAACTGGTCATGAGTCAGTATGAACTGGAAAACTACACAATCTCTAAATTTCATAGTCAAATACTACACTTTTGGAAAATGATATTCACACATAACTTTACTCCACACAGTTCGACTCAGTGGAACAATAGAACAATACTTATAAATAGGAAATCAGTATTTAAAGCTGAATGGTTTGACAAAGGAATTCTCTTTGTAACTGACTTGATGGATTGTAAAGGTGTTCTACTGGATCACACCAGCTTTGTTGTACGTTCTAATATAAACTGTACTCATAGAGAGTATCAACAAATTTGTAAAGCTATTCCTAGCCTTGATCCACCTTATCCAGAATACTTTGACTTACTCTGATGTCACTATAAATCATAAATTAGTTGATAAAAACTTCAATAACAGGGTTGCTACGGATGCTTTTAAATCTAAATTGTTCCATGATTATAATAAAAACAATGTGCCTGTAAACCATTCTGATATGCTGTGTAAAGCCTTCTCTAAATATGTTAAATGGCCAATTCCGCCTATAAAGTCAAAGAAACGCATTTCAAAACTTGTCATAAGATCTATCCAGTTTCCAATTTTCTTCATAAGCGATTTGACAAGGCGGGTTGTGCTTTTTGTGATTTTACCGATGAATCTCTAGAACACTTATTTTTTACATGCTCCATTTCATGCCAGTTCTGGAGTGATATTAGAGACTGGCTGAATCTAAAAATGTCAAACATCCCTGTATTTAACATCAACCATATCCTGTTTTATGTTGATGATTTAGATAATTCAATATCAGACATTGTGAATATTGTTTTCCTACTTACCAAATATCATACATTGTTGTAAGTGGAGAGACTCTCGCCCCTGCTTTGTTCATTTCATGAACGAATTTAAACTATTCTACTCCTCACTGAGATTACTTAAAAATTGCCGTGCCCCGAAAATATCATCGGACATGTCCAAGTTTCTTGTGTTTTAAATGTTTTTTTGGGGTTTTTTTGCCTTACATGTATTGTGGATCCCCTTAAGGTTTGATGCTGATTGTTATTGTATTTGATTTTATTCTATGCTGTTACCTCTATGAGTTCTTGTATTCTGTTTAATAAAAAAAATAAATAAAAAATACACAATCGTCACATCACACTAAAATGAGTCAAATTTCAACTCTAGTTCACATAAATATAAGCGTATTCTTTCAAGCCCTGAAAAGTTGGCTACTTTTAAACGCATCTGCATTTCTTAATCCCGATGGTTTCTGCGAATATAAGGGGGGGTTAGTTAAACACCCAACCTAAACGTTGAGACATTTAAAAGGGTTTTTTTCGGGAAGACGTCAGCTGAACAATCGGTAGGCTATGTTGAATCCATTGAACTGGCTGTACTTGAATCCCTCACACCCTCGTTTTCATCCCTGTCAAGCATTAATATTTTCGTTAAGGCTTTAAGCCAGGGGTGCCCAAACTCGGTCCTGGAGGGCCGGTGTCCTGCAGAGTTTAGCTCCAACTTGCCTCAACACACCTGCCTGGAAGTTTCTAGTATGCCTAGTAAGAGCTTGATTAGCTGGTTCAGGTGTGTTTAATTGGGGTTGGAGCTAAACTCTGCAGGACACTGGCCCTCCAGGACCGAGTTTGGGCACCCCTGCTTTAAGCGATAAATGTCTCTGTGGCATCTGATTTCTGAATCATCAAGTCACTAAAATAACAGATAAGCAGTAGGCTAACACACACACAAACGTTACCATAAACTCAGTTTAACACTAATGACAAAAACCTACAGTAATGTGAAGAGGGTAATACACTTATCTAGTTTTATAGATTGTAACACAGATGTGCATAGGCCTATGACCTGGTTAAAATAGATGGATATAGATAGGGTGTTTTAACCAAGGACAATATCATTTTTTTTTTTTTTTTGCATTTCAGATTGAGCATGTGTAAAACCATTCAGGTTTAGTTCACCACAGATGTCCAGTTGAGACCAACCAACAACCAAATCCGTAGAAATTGACGAATGACCTGAGCACAAACATCCAACGCCATATAGTCACGGATTTCCGGAATGGACGTTGACATTGTTGAATATTGCTGCTGAAACAAACAGGGCCTATTATTATTACTCAACTGCAAATGAAGGCTTGAGTTCTAATTTATAAAACTAATACAAATCTTCATTTAAATGTACATTTTGTTAATTCGTGAAATGTTGTTGTGTTTTAGGACGGAGGCATATTTATTTTAAACCAAACTATCACTACTCAACATATCATCACTAAAAAAGGCCAGTTGTAATGTACTTTGAATTTGTGTCTTTCTTATGAGACTTACTCTGGCAATCAGCCAATGTCAGAGCGCGCTATCAGAACAACAGCACAAAAATACATTGTTGTAAGTGGAGAGACTCTCGCCCCTGCTTTGTTCATTTCATGAACGAATTTAAACTATTCTACTCCTCACTGAGATTACTTAAAAATTGCCGTGCCCCGAAAATATCATCGGACATGTCCAAGTTTCTTGTGTTTTAAATGTTTTTTTGGGGTTTTTTTGCCTTACATGTATTGTGGATCCCCTTAAGGTTTGATGCTGATTGTTATTGTATTTGATTTTATTCTATGCTGTTACCTCTATGAGTTCTTGTATTCTGTTTAATAAAAAAAAAAAATAAAAAATACACAATCGTCACATCACACTAAAATGAGTCAAATTTCAACTCTAGTTCACATAAATATAAGCGTATTCTTTCAAGCCCTGAAAAGTTGGCTACTTTTAAACGCATCTGCATTTCTTAATCCCGATGGTTTCTGCGAATGTAAGGGGGGGTTAGTTAAACACCCAACCTAAACGTTGAGACATTTAAAAGGATTTTTTGTTTTTTTTCGGGAAGACGTCAGCTGAACAATCGGTAGGCTATGTTGAATCCATTGAACTGGCTGTACTTGAATCCCTCACACCCTCGTTTTCATCCCTGTCAAGCATTAATATTTTCGTTAAGGCTTTAAGCCAGGGGTGCCCAAACTCGGTCCTGGAGGGCCGGTGTCCTGCAGAGTTTAGCTCCAACTTGCCTCAACACACCTGCCTGGAAGTTTCTAGTATGCCTAGTAAGAGCTTGATTAGCTGGTTCAGGTGTGTTTAATTGGGGTTGGAGCTAAACTCTGCAGGACACTGGCCCTCCAGGACCGAGTTTGGGCACCCCTGCTTTAAGCGATAAATGTCTCTGTGGCATCTGATTTCTGAATCATCAAGTCACTAAAATAACAGATAAGCAGTAGGCTAACACACACACAAACGTTACCATAAACTCAGTTTAACACTAATGACAAAAACCTACAGTAATGTGAAGAGGGTAATACACTTATCTAGTTTTATAGATTGTAACACAGATGTGCATAGGCCTATGACCTGGTTAAAATAGATGGATATAGATAGGGTGTTTTAACCAAGGACAATATCATTTTTTTT